TACTCAAATAACGAAAAAGCTTGATCCGTCAAGAGTTTTTACTGAAATAATATCACATATAAAAGGTGGTTCACAATCAGCAAAGTCTTGTGATGGTAAACTCAGCAGGATGGATTATGTTGGACTTTCTGAGGGTCGGATGTGCACCTTAAACAGTCACAAGAGAGAATTAATATATGATATTTTTTTAGATTATGAAAAGTTGAAGTTGGAAAATTGTGAATTTGACGTAGCTGATCTCGTAATTGATCTTCATCGCCGACTTAAAAATGGAAAATATGTGGGTGACATGATGGATTTTGTTTACATTGATGAGGTGCAAGATCTTACCATGAGCCAGATTGCTCTTTTCAAGTACATCTGCCAAAATGTGGAAGAGGGTTTTGTTTTCTCTGGAGACACGGCTCAAACAATTGCAAGGGGTATTGACTTTAGGTTTGAAGACATAAGATCTTTGTTCTACAATGAGTTTATTTTAGAATCAAAAAGTGAAGGAAATGATGGGAAAAAGGAGAAGGGTCAAATATCCCGAATCTTTCACTTGAGCCAGAATTTTCGCACCCATGATGGTGTTCTAAGGTTGGGCCAAAGTGTAATTGATCTTCTTTACCGATTTTTTCCCTTCTTCATTGATGTGTTAAGCCATGAAACGAGTCTTATATATGGGGAACCTCCAATTTGGCTTGATTCTGGGAAAGATGAAAATGCTGTTGCAACCATTTTTGGGAACATTGAGAATGGAGAACGGAGCTTCGTTGGATTTGGAGCAGAGCAGGTCATATTAGTTCGGGATGATTCTGCAAAGAATGAAATTGTCAAGTATGTAGGCAAGCACGCCCTTATTTTAACTGTAGTGGAGTGCAAGGGTCTAGAGTTTCAGGTCAGTGGTGTTTTATATTTTTCCTGTACTGTAAGTCTTGCTTCAGCAATGGAATCAATTGCTTGCTCTATGTTTATCATTTTCTTACAACATGCATATTCTAATCATTACTTACTCATTCTCTTCTCTGTTTACGTTATCGTAATGATTTTCTTTCAATAGTCCTTTTACTGGGTAGTAAGGTGCAGCATTTACTTGTTGTCAAAGGGACGACTGTTTTGTTCTTTTTATTTTCTTCCTGGTGTCTTTAATTTTATTTTTATCAAAATCTTGGCCTTTTGTCTTCACATTGTTGATTATTTCACTTGGGGCTGTGGTATCCAGTGTGCTTTTTAATTCCAACTGTTTGATACTTATCAGATAAACACTTACATTTAGGACCTTTGTTGGAGCTTCCCAATGCACATCATTCTCATTCCAACTTTTTGTGCTTTATTACTCTGCAGGATGTGTTATTGTACAATTTTTTCAGTTCATCCCCCCTGAGAAATCAATGGAGAGTGATCTATGAATACATGAACGAACAAGGGTTGCTTGATGGTAGTTCTCCCAGGTCCTTTCCAAGTTTCAATCGTGCAAAACACAATGTTCTATGCTCTGAATTGAAACAGTTATATGTTGCTATAACTCGCACTAGGCAAAGATTTTGGATATGTGAAAACATGGAGGAGTTTTCAAAACCTATGTTTGAATATTGGAAGAAAAAGTGCCTAATTGAAGTCAGGGAATTAGATGATTCACTGGCGCAAGCAATGCAAGTTGCAAGCACTCCAGAGGAGTGGAAGTCACGTGGTTATAAGGTCTGGTTCCTGTTCTTTCTTTATCATGTCCCAAGTAAATTAGATTTTCTGGCTTACTACGTTGATATTATTTACTTGTTGGAATTGAGCTGTATGAAAATTCTTCTCTTTCTATTCATGTCTGGCAGCTTTTACGTGAGGGTAACTATGAGATGGCAACAATGTGTTTTGAAAAGGCAGCAGACAAGTATGGGGAGAAACTGGCAAAGGCAACTGGACTGAAAGCGGCTGCAGATCGCATGCATTTCTCAAATCCTGAAATGTTCTCCATTACATGCAGGGAGGCTGCTGAAATTTTTAATTCCATTGGCAAGGCAGCTCTTGCTGCAGAATGCTTTTACATGTTAAAGGACTATGAAACAGCAGGTCCAACTTCCTTTCATGTTCCATTTCTTATTTTACTTCAATATTTATGTTTTATTTTTTAAATCACCATCCTGGTTTAATTTTGTGACACAGAGTACTTGCATACTTTTTGCCTTCTCAGTTCACATAAAAAGGAATGTGTCTTTATGCTTGTTTGCACGGAAAACTAGAAGAAAAGATTTGCCTATTGATGAACGGCAGTTGTTTCATGAATATAAGACTCTTTGCTTTGTGAATCAGAGTATCTTTTCTCCTTGCCTATTGAGATAAAAGTGGACCTCATGTCTGAGTAAAAGCAGAAATACTCAGTCAATCTCCTTGTATCATTTCAGGAAAGCCAAAATGAGAGCTCATGCTAATCTATTTTGTTTGTTAATAATCAATCATTTCTAAGTAAAGCCGTCAGCATTTCTCTCTAGAACTTCCTTGCCACTTTTAATTCAGACATTGTGATACTAACATCTTGCACCTACAGGAAAAATATATTTGGAAAAATGCAGTGAATCTTTCCTTGAAAGAGCAGGAGAATGCTTTTTACTATCTAAAAAATACGAGTCTGCAGCAGAAGTCTATGCTCGAGCCAGTAACTTCTCTAAATGTTTATCTTGTTGTGCCAAAGGAGAACTGTTTGAAATGGGTTTGCAGTATATAAAAGACTGGAAGCAGCACACAAGCACTGATGATGAGCTGCTGAAAAGAAGAAAAGAGATGGAGAAAGTTGAGCAAGAGTTTCTAGAAAATTGTGCATCTCATTTTCATTTGCTAAATGATAACATAACCATGATGAAGTATGTAAGAGCTTTTCATTCCATGGCTTCGGTAAGAACATTTTTGAAGTCTTTGGGATGCCTTGATGACCTTCTAGCATGGGAAATAGAATCTGGGAACTTCCTGGAGGCAGCAGACATTGCAAAGCAGAGAGTTGAACTTCCTCTTGCAGCTGATCTACTTGGGAAATGTGGGCATTACAAGGACGCATCGATGCTTATTTTGTGGTTTGTCTTTGCCAACTCTCTTTGGTCAGCTCAGAGCACTGGGTGGCCCTTAAAGCCGTTTAAAGATAAGGAGGAACTTCTAGCAAAAGCTAAATCATTTGCGAAGAATGAGACAAACCAGTTTTATGAATTCATCTGTGCTGAGGCAGACACTCTATCAAGTGAGAGAAGTAACATACTCGTGCTAAAGCAACAATTGGACAGGGCACAAAGTCATAGAAGCATCAGAGGCGAAATACTATCTGCTCGAAAGATTCTGGACTCTCATTTTGTTATAAACACCTCGAAGTATGTCTGGGAAGATGAAATGATTTTTGACCTAACAAGACACTCAGAAGACATACTTAACGATAATCAGGTTTCTGTTGAGACACTGGTATACTTTTGGAACTATTGGAAGGATAAAGTGGTGCAAATTTTTGAATATCTCAAAAATGCTGGAATCCAAGATGTTACTGAATATAGAAGCTATGGAGATTTTTGTTTAAATTACTTGGGTGTGTGGAGGCAGTTCAACAATCTTGACACTCTCTATATTTTGTTAAAATCTAATGTTGAATGGGTCAGCAATGACCGAAGATTTTTGCAGAACAATGGGAATCTGTTTTCCATTGGAATCAATTGCTTAGTCTCCACTGCCCGAAATTACTGGCGCTCAGAATTATTTTCTGTTGGTTTGATAGTGTTAAAAAATCTTGAGGCACTTTATAAGGACTCAATCAAAAATAACTTCTCTTTTTTCCGACGAAGTTTGTCTCTAACTCACATCTGTGAAGTTGCGAACTTCCTTCTGAAACCAGAATTTCTGAGCAGCCGGTACAATGCTGGAACTCTGCAAGATTTTATTAGGATATCAACGAAGAACATCTTGGACTGCATATTTCATCTTAACTGGCAGGAAGCATTGAAAGACAACCTGATTCATCTGAGAGGAACTGAGACATTAAGGAAATTGCTTGAGGAGGTTGCATTTGAAATCATCAACTCAAAGAACAAGATATATTATGGGGAAATTGGAAGGTTGGCATTGATAATTCTTGGATCTGGTAAAGTTAAAAGTGAAATGTGTCTGAAGATTGCAGAAAGGTTAAGATGGAATCAACCATGGAATGCTTTCTTCAAAAATCTCAGAAGAATTTCGAATTTTCATGAGGTTGTTGTAGATACTTATAATGCCAATTGGAGGAGAAACGACTATATCTCACCTGGTTGCTTCCTGTATCTTCTTGACCGTTATGTGTTTTTGTTGTCTTGCTTGAAGAAGGTGTACATATACACTACGAAGTTTTCCTTGATTGAGTGGCTTATTTGTCAGGAAGGGAACACTCAATCAGCAGATGGTTTAGTGGATGATGATCTGGATCAACAAACCTTGGAACATTTTCTCATATACATAGTAGAAACCATCTTGAAGCTTCTTTACAACGAGGAGGATACAGCACTCTGGATTAAACATCATCATAAAAATGTGAATGAGTGCTATTCTCTTCTGGTGTCAAGATTGATTGTTCTATTATGTTTGCTTTACCTGAATTTTCAGAATTGCTTTCCCTTAAATTTGCTTGTTGACTTGCTGCAAAAGAAACGATTGCCGTCGGGTTTCTTTGATGCTATTCATAGAGGACTGAATTATAGGAAACCAAATGAAAAATTGTTTGCAGAAGCATTTAAAAAAACTGGAAACCCTCTTGTGATCTTTTCGGTGGGGGAATTTTTCCCAAAACGCGTATGTACAAATGCCATTTATGTGGAAATGAAGGCTCAGCAAACAACAGAGGACATTTTAAAAGTCCTTGTTCCCCCATTCACTTCAGTTTCTAAGAAACTGACAGGACTTGCTGAGGTGAAAGCTACTAATTTGTGCAGAGTAGTAATTTCTACAGATAATTCAGAGAAGAGCTCCAATCACCTGTCTTCAAACTCAAGTTCCCTTGTTGGTCAAGGTTCGAGTAACTGTAACAAAAATGAGGGTAATTTGCGGATGAACCATCTAAAATTTTGGGAAATACTTGATGCTTTAAAGTCACAGGATAATGTAAAAGATAAAAGTAGCTCTGTAGTGGATGCTTCTGTGGTTAAGGTAATCCTAATTCTAGTCTTGTATATGACTATATTCTAGGCCATGATCATGTCTTAACATTTACCCTTTTCCACCTCTCCGTTCATCTTTTAGGTGGAATTGGATCGGTGTATTAATGTTTTAATTGCTGCAACGAATGGATCTGCCCAGAAGTCTTCAGATTCTGTGGACCTCAAACTCATCGGTCAAATGAGATGCATGATTGTTGAAACAAAGGAACTTCGTGCTGCACTCCAATTGGATAGGCAAGTTTAAATACATTTTTCATGTCAAATTCTTGCCTCCATGATTATACCCTAATAATTTTCTTGTTTTTATTGTTGATTTACTATATTTTCCATTTCAACAGTTTTTATGGGATATATGACGTGATAATCAGGTGCATGAATATATATATATGTATATATGTGCATATTATATATATATATATATATATATATAGAGAGAGAGAGAGAGAGAGAGAGAGAGAGACAATTTAGTTCTTTGTTATAAAAGAACTGGTCCAGCATCTTCAATCATGAGGTGATTAAAACCTTCATAAACGTCTTGTACTAATGTTCTTGTTGTTTTCTAATTCTTTCAGTGCTTTCAGCGACCTGAAAGGTTCAGATAAGGTTTCAAGTGTTGAAGAACTTTGCAAGACGCTACAGTCAAGAAGACCTACAATGGAACCAGTATTGAATCAATTATACTTACAGCAAAATATTACAACTTCGGATGAAGACTCGGGCTGCCAGTTTTGCCCAGAAAATGGCAACGGCAAGACTGAGGAAAGCACAGGAAATGACGACAGCAAGAGTGAGAAAAATTGCAGCAGGGAGACTGAAGAAAAGGCTTCAAAAGTTAATGCAGATTCAGGTAACAACCAGGCAGTGGAGAAAAAAGGACAGGGTGGCGGCGGCAGCAAATCCAAGAAGAAAAAGAAGGGGAAAGGCAAGCGTAAGTAGAGCATTTGTATATGAATCATTCAGGAATCAGGCTATATTGTTGTCTGTAAAGTTGTACTCGTTTGTAGTCATAGTAACTTCAGAACATATACCATTGCCAAAAATGTATTACCGCATTTGATTTCTGCCTCTGAATTTTGATATGATGGTGGAAAACTGAAAGGTATCAATATAATCAAAAGAAATTTTTTTTCCTAATTTTTAGATCTTTCATCTTTTTAATTTCTGTCTATGTTTAACTTACATCCTCATCATTCAAAAAAAAAAAAAAATTTAAAAAACAACACAGTTGGACTCGGGGTGAATTACTTAAATTTTCAATTTGAATAACTTAAAAAAAGCACTCCAAAAAAGAGCAAAATTAAAAATTTTATACGAATTTTCGTGTTTGATCAGTTACCAATAAACTAGAAACTCTTTCAAAACAATCTGTTTATTGTTCTCCAAGGTTGCTTGCTAAAAGAATTGTGCATAATTCAATGTTTTATTGGATATTCAAATTATAGAATCCTGTAGACTTCTAGTGCAAAAATATTTAAGGAAGATAGGAAACTTTTGCCAACCACAAAACCATTTGGACACGTTTGGTCATTTCGCTTGAAAATGAAATTCACGTAGAAAGTATACGCTTTCTTTTCATCATTCATAGCAGCTCAAATTTTATTCTTCTTGGTCTGGGAAATTTTCTACTATCTTCATGCTCAACTGCTGGAATTTTTTTCTACCAGCAGTTTGTTCTGAATGAGATTGTGGATTTGGTGAAAGTGCGGAGTGAAGAAGAAAGGTCTTAATGAGGGAGATGGACGGCCTGCACATACTTGGAATAGAGTACAAGAATGAGTTGCAAAATGATAAAAAGTAGGAAAAAGAGGTAGCTAATAATAATTAATCCTTACTACTAAAAATATTATAGACTACAATTAACCCTTATTCCAAAATCAAGAATATTTTGGAGGCGGGTTTGTCTGGATGAAGTTCAGGTGGTGAAACTCGCTGCCAATTCAAGACTACAATAGTTTGTGATGTCATCATTTTACTCCATGGCTTTTGCTTTACATGGCAAACAAACAAAGAACATTTGACATCCATACGTTCTGCTAAGACAAGGAAATTATTGGATGTTTCAAGAAAAATTGGAATCTCCATTGTTCTTTGAAGTGCACAATTGAACCTCAAATGAGGAAAAGAAGATGAAACTACTACTCATCTCCTATCATAACATTTTCTTCTACAACATTGAACTATGAACATTTATCATCAAAGCTACTAATTAAAAGCCCATGATGTAAAAAATACACATCTATTACATTCTATTTCAGTAAAAATCAGGAATTCTTTTCTATGATTTTCTAGAAGTTTGCTCTCCTTTTATTCCTCTAATACTATCACCACTGGTGAAAACTTCAAAGATATTATAATATCGGTTTCAAGTTTTCATGTAAGTTTTGGAACACGAGTATTATAACTTTAACGGAGTACCTGTAACTCCTCTGCGATCATCCAGAGGAAAACTGTCTAAAATCTTTATTACCAAAAACTTGGAAACACCCACCAACTCATTTCTCTTCGTTAGATCCAAACAACTTCATCCTGGACAATGGGGTCCTCAAGTAACCTTCTACCTCATACTTCTTCGGTGAAAGCTCTCTGTACTTAGCAAACTGCTCTTTAGCTTCGGCATTCTTGTCGAGCAAGCTATATATCATCCCCCGGCAAAAGTATGGCCTGAAATCGTTAGGGTCCTCCTTTGTTAACTCCTCGTAGCTCCTCAATGCCTCTTCCACATTCTTCTGTAAGAACTGTATCTGTGCAATTATCAATCTCACGTCCCTTGCTTCCTTCACCTTCTTCTCTTCCTCAGCTATGGCTAGCGCCTCCTCCAGCCTCCGTATCACCAAATCTCCTTTCCCAGATTGGTCCATCAACAATGCATTCTCGAACAACGCCTCGAAGGATAGTGGGTTTTGAGCAAGGATTTCTTCGAATACATTGCGTGCATTTTCCGGCTGACCTAATTCGTTCAAGAGTCTGGCCATTAAGAATTTCCATTCGGTATCTTCCGGCTTCGCAGAAACCAACCGCTTCAAGATTTCGAGAGCCTCCTCGTCCTCGCCATTTTCGAGTTTTTGTTGCAAAAGCGACCTTAGGACGTCGACGGTTTCGCTATTAGACTCAAGAAGCTTGGACAATGGCGATGGATGGTCATCTTGAGAGTGGATCTTCCCGCGCTCTTCTTCTGCTTCTGCTTCTTCGAGACCTTGCCCCGTGACGGCGGCCGGAGACTCCGCTTTTGCAGGCAAATGTGAGAACTTTCCAACGATAGACACCCCGACGCCCATGAGAAGTACCATTTTGGCAATGGATTTGAGGTTTTGGATGAGAGGAGGCTTGGGTTTGTCGGCAACGGAAGTCGGCTTGTGATGAAGAGAGGTGACAGAAAGAGAACGCTGGGGTTTGGCAGTGGCAAAACGGACTGTTGAAGGCTGGGCAAGTGAAGGTGTCTTGATATGGAGGAAAGAAGAAAATGGCGATGATGAACACGAAGTGGATAGAGTAGAGTTCATGATTGTGTTTCTTTTAGGGTTTCGTTCCTCAGAGATGAAGAAAATTGAGAATTGAGAGGAGGATTTTGGGCATGGGTTCGGAAGTTTCCAGTATCAAGAGAGGGTTTAGGGTTTTTGACGATGCTGGTTGCGCCCTAGGTAATGAAAAAGAAAGTCAGGTGGGTTTGGCTAGCAAACTTATTAAAAAGTCTGATGTCATTGTAATAAGAAATGGATGCCCTGTAACACCTACCCACCAACTTGGGAAAAGCCTGATTAACTTTTTTTCTTTATTTTTTATTTTTTTTCAAAGCTTTTATTTTATTTTGGATTGAGAAAATCGTCCAAAACCAAATCTTTGCCTGAGTATTTTTCAAACATATATATATATATATATATCTCATGTTCAGAATCAGCGACAAGAACGAATCCACCAAACCATCCATGCCCGACTTTAATAAAGTCACGATCATGCTGACGATTTGGTAACTACCAACATACATTTACAAACGTTTATTGACTGCTACAAAGTTCCTTCGATGATTTTTTTTTTTTTTTTCTCTTTTCTTTTAATCTTCAGAAGTTCATTGCAGCTTTAATTATTTTGGAGAACCAAATGAACAAGATAAAAAAAGGGTTTGGGGGAAGAACAGGTGAATGAGAAAGAGTATAGAGCTTCAATTACTCGTTTTTTTAGGTTGAGAGGTTTAATTTAAAACCAACAGGGATGACAAGTCTCAAAACCTTGCAAAATCTTATGATAATTTGTTCTAAAATGAGGACACATAATCTGATAATGAAAAGCTAACTCATCAATTCAGTCCAGTCGGTCACTTCCCCCGAAGAAACCAGTAATTACCCAACATCAGTCCAGACGATCATAAATGAACCAAACAGCTTTTTATAAATACCTAAATTAATGGGCAGCTCCCTGAAATAACCTACAAGAAACCAGGGTAAATTCTTCGTTCATCTTGCCCATAGTACAAAAAGGCATTTACATGAACAATGGTATCCCCCAAAATTTAGGCTTGAGGAAAAACAAGAATCTATAATTATGACTTTCATTTTTCTACTTCATGTTCATCCTATACTGTACATCACATCCTACCTATTATATACACCCATTTCCCACTACCAACAGCATCTCAATAAGCACCAGCAGATGCTTTACAAGTTACAAACGATTGAGGTTCACGCTATTGTGCGGAAACCATCTTGCTCAGCTGGCTAAATATATTTGCATGACTCCCAAGGATGAGGAAAAAGCTCGGAAAACCTCCAGTGTTCGCAATAGAAGAATGATGACTGGAACTTGGAAATGATGGAGAAAACATATCATATTCCTAACCTCTTCACACCGCATTCGGAGCAGAATTTGGAGGTTTCTCTTAGGTATGGCACCCCGCATTCATCACAGAACTTCGCAGGACTAGTTGGCTGAAAAGTGCAAACTTATTTAAAATCAGAGTAAAAAATAGAGATGCGAGTTATATGCAATAACTAATTAATACAAACTATTAGGGATTTATGCAAAAATTAAAGAAAAAACATAATAAAATTACAGGCACCGTACAAAAACTTTCCTTGTAAAATAGTAGAAATATCTTTTTGAGTTCTCTCTTAGCCAGAACAAAAAAAAAATATATATATTCTTCTCTTGGACACAAATACAGGTGTATTTTGTGTATATTACCTAGTGATGTGCTTTTTACAGATGAATGAATTGTCCTACTACTTTTATGCAAAAAATGAAAAATTCTTAAAAAGCAACAATCCCTAGAAAATTTAAATCTCTAATTCAAAAGATGTGTGTGTGTGTGTGTTTGCTGTTGATCTGCTTAAATATTTAACAGAAGATTTTTTTAGTTCATCTATCAAAAAGAAGACTAAAGAGATATTTATATTCTTAAGCTTTTTTTTATGTTTTTTCCATAATAACGCAGTTCGGTCTACTTGACCAACATGCACAGGAATCTCTAACATACTACAATAGTAACTAGTACAAAAAAAAACTGTAGAAATTTTCTTACATCCATGAATCCCGGTACCCTTTTCAATTTCAGAGTTTACAAAAAGTTATAATTTCTTACCTATTTATACAAGACTGAAGAATGTTACTGATATTGCATT